CATTTTCTGGGCACTTGGTAATGAGGAGGAGGAAGGAGGATTCTTAGTGATTCTATGGGAACCTTTTCTGGGCACTTGGTAATGGGGAAGAAGCATCTCCGGGGTGATTCTAAGGGGGCATTTTCTGGGCACTTAGCATTGAGGAAGAGGGAGGTTTCTTGGTGAGTCTACGGTAGCATTTTCTGGGCAGGAGGGGGTATCTTCTAAGCACTTTGTACAGAGAGGAAGTATCTCCTATGCACTTATAATGGGGTTATCTCCTGGCACCGGCTGGGGCTTTCCTCTGGGCAACAGGCACCGGCTGGGGCTTTCCTCTGGGCAACAGGCACCGGCTGGGGCTTCCCTCTGGGCAACAGGCACCGGCTGGGGCTTCCCTCTGGGCAACAGGCACCGGCTGGGGCTTCCCTCTGGGCAACAGGCACCGGCTGGGGCTTCCCTCTGGGCATCTGGGGGTTTCTTCTGGGCAACTCAAAAGGGACAGTCCCTCTGCAGATGAGTGCAGGGATGAGGAGGGGGTACTCCAAGAGACTTTAGGTATCCGGGGCTGTTACCAAAGAGTTCTGACAATCGCAGGGCATGTCATGGGCACTGATGATAAATAAGAGGAAGAAGGTGGGGGAGGGGGTATATATTCATTTAGGAAGTACCAGGCTTCCAGGGAGACAGGGCTTTCTATGTACACTATATTACAACAATAACATGGGGAGAGGGGCGGGGGGCACCATCCTTAGAGAAGGAAGGGGCAATTCCCGCGTGAAGAACAAGCATGGGGGCAATTCCTAGACACTGACACCCAGGCATTTCAGACTCCTAGTAATACACTGGGGCAGATATTGAAGTAAGGGAGAGACTTGCCAGCCGGAGGGCTCTTTGTATAGATGGCAATGTTCTAAATGTGCCAATTAGGGTATTAGGTAATCATGCCATTGAACTGCTGGGGGTGTATTAGGATAAATGCCCTAAATAGGGTATTTAATGATAATAAAAATATTGAATCGCCCTGAATGGGTATCTATAAGAAGGAAGACCTGCTGGGGTATTTATAGGTGATGAAATGCTGCAATTGCCCCAGAGGGTGTATTTACAAGCAGTGACATATCTAATTGTCTATGACGGGGGTATGTAAAGGCAAATATGTCCTTACTGCCTATTTGTAGAACAGGTGAATAATAGCCCCCTGTTGGGGTATTTGAAAGTAATTGCCTCTGCAGGAGGTAATTGAATGGAAATAACTAGAGGATTCCAGTCCGTCCCGTCCCCAACCCACCCCCCGAGTCTTACCGGCGGCTCCTGGGCTCCCTCGCTCCGTGTCTGCGCCTCCCGGTACCCGCCAGCCCCGGCTCCGTCCCTCCAGCCCGTCACCCCTCAGGCCACGCCCACCCGATACCAGGCGGCGCCCCCCTCACCAGCCCTCCGCATTGCCTATTGGCTCTCGCTCGCCTCATCCCGCTCCTCGCCCATTCCTTATTGGTTGCCGCCCACGCCTGTCACGCGGAAACCGTTACTTTTTTTTCTTGTCCTTGCGCTCTCCATCAGTTTTCCACCTTGTCCCCGCCCACCCCTGGAGAAAAGTGGCTGGAGGCGGCTGTCCGTCACTGGAGCCGCGCTCCCATTGGCTGCCAGGGTTTCCATGGAAGCCAATACAGGGGGGGCGTGTCCTCGTGGACCGGATTGCGCAAGCCTGATTGGCAGCGGTGTGGGGTACCACGTGGGTGTAGAGAGGTTCAGGTTGGAGAGAGGACCTGTCGCTGGCATACCCCGGGGCGGACATGTTGTTGGTTGGCATTTTGTCGTCTCAGATCACGTGGACACGTCTGAGGCGTGAGGCAGGGTGAACCTCGAGCCCTTGGTGGTGTCACATGGAGCAAAATGGCTGCCCTGGTTAGTAGCAAACGGCATGGCTGACTTGGGGGAACAAAACGGATGCCATAGGGAAGAAAATGGCTACATGCCTTTACTGTGAGGCAGACGATGGCTACCTCTTAACTATAGGGAACAAGATGGCTGCCTCTTAACTGTAGGGAACAAGATGTCTAAGGTGTCTCATTCTGCAGTCTCTAGGGAACAAAATGAGTATATGTATATTGTATATGCGTAAAAAGATGGCCACCCCTTTTCTGAAGAGAACAAGATGGCCGCCCCTTTTCTGAAGAGAACAAGATGGCTGCTACTTCTTAACCCAGGGGACCGAGATGCCCCCCTCTTGACTGAAGGGACCCCAATGGCCTCCTCTTGACTGAAGGGACCCCGATGGCCTCCTCTTGACTGAAGGGACCAGGATGGCCTCCTCTTGACTTAAGGGACTGAGATGGCCCCCTCTTGACTGAAGAGACCAGGATGACCCCCCTCTTGACTGAAGGGACCAGGATGACCCCCCTCTTGACTGAAGGGACCAGGATGACCCCCTCTTGACTGAAGAGACCAGGATGACCCCCCTCTTGACTGAAGGGACCAGGATGACCCCCCTCTTGACTGAAGGGACCAGGATGGCCCCCTCTTGACTGAAGAGACCAGGATGGCCCCCTCTTGACTGAAGGGACCAGGATGGCCACCTCTTGACTTAAGGGACCGAGGTGGCCCCCCTCTTGACTGAAGAGACCAGGATGACCCCCTCCTGACAGAAGGGACCAGGATGGCCCCCTCTTGACTGAAGGGACCAGGATGGCCACCTCTTGACTTAAGGGACCGAGATGGACCCCTCTTGACTGAAGGGACCAAGATGGCTGCCTCATCGCACGTTTTTGGTACGTATTTCACACCTAACACCCGTCTCCTCCTCTTAGTTACTAGCTTTCCATTGGCTGAATCAAGAACCTTCAAGCTTAAAGACATAAATGTGTGAGAACAAAATGGCCGACTCTTGCATTTCAGTTTTTGCATAACCCCTCCCAAGAGCTAGCCCACTGCTTGCGTCAGGGCTGAGGGCTCTTGAAAGGAGTAATGAGTCAGGGTGCTGTGATGTTTTCAGGGCGCTATGTACCACACCCTGCCGGCCCCTCCCACCAGCCATGATCTGCCTGCATTGTATAGAGGAGCACAGACACCCGGTGATGACTGTGACGGACCCCCGTACTCAGGAGGAGTATGTCCGCCGCTGTCTTCTTCCTTGCTGAGGAGATCTTGCAACCTGAAGATCCTTAGCTCCCAGTTTCCCCAGTCACTAGCCAAGGCTTGAGTGTAGGTGAAACAAACTCTGCTTTATTATAAAACTGCACAAACTTTTATACAGCAAGTGATCAGATCAGAATATAATCCCATCACCTTCCCCTCCCCAGAAATCCTGTCTTCACAACACCACAGGTGTCCACCTGCTAAATAGCTCCAGACAGCCATAGCAGGAGCCTGGCCAGAATGTAATTGTTCTGAGCTCCCTCAGAGAACAATGGGAGATAACGAGGGATGGTGCTGATAGTCTTTCCATAACCAGGTCACACAGCATAACGCACTCAAACATAACTCAACACCAATACACATTTAACTTATAAACTCATCACCATGTCGTCACAATGACGTCATTTGCATGTTGATGGGGGAAGCAGGACAGCCGAAATATAATTAAGTAGATGGAAGTTCAGCGGTAATATATAACACAAGTTGGGCCGCACCTGCGTTTACATTATCTGTATACACATTCCATACATTTTCCTGCAGCCCCCTCTTTCTTCCTGAAGGAGGATTGAAGACAGCTGCCAGCCATGGAC